AGTATCGTGTTGAGTCTTTGTATAACATGCTGACAAAACAAGCTATGCGAATAAAAAAATATGTTAAGTCATTGGACATAGGGCAAAAATGTATGAACGCTGCACCCACGTCCGCCACGGCTTAAACTACGTTTGTTTGAAAGCTATTATAGTTATGATTATAATATGTGCCAAAGCGCATCGAATTCCATCCTGGGGTTCTTTAGTTATTTTAAATTAAATAGGTATAAGAACTATAACGAACGAACATTGTGGGCATTACTAGGGCTAGAAAAATTATGTGATGGGCGTGGTTTGGGCTGTTGAGCGGGTGCTTCGTGGAGTAATACTCTTTCTCCTTCACTCAAAAAAAAAACTATTTAAACAAATATAGGCAGGGCACGAAAACATCATTGTCTTAAAATTTACCTGTATGATTTGAATTGGATACACTATTAAAAAGCGTCATGATGCTTCATCCTATTGTATAAGTCAGTACGAACCGATTGTTATGTCTATGATGATACTATAAATTAAAAAACAAAAATTGTGGAATATTAACAAATGTATAAACGTGGTTTTATCGGAGCGGCGACCTGGAGACCTGCTCTAATTCAACGAAAAACAAAATTTCGCACTTTTCTTACTATGTTTCTGGTTCGTTTTTAATTGTAATAATATTCGTCGTCGGAATATAGATTGGGGTGTATATTTTTTAATCCTACTCAAAGAAAGCTTCAGTTTGATAGTTTATCGTTCAAATTAAGTATAACCTTAAATTGACGAAATTAAAGGACAATGGGCAAAGCACACCCAGCACCGCCAACAATCTAATTAGTATGAATCGATAGATCTCTGAAAAACTAGCCTTTTTTATTATGACACCTTAAAAAAATATCCTGGTAGTCAAAAGATATGACACATGGGCATATTTAATATATTAGAATTTTTTGCATGCTATTGATATGGCTAAATAGGTTTAAGATTCTTAGCTTTGAACATATGCTTTATATGCAAACACCTTTTGTCAACCCTCTTTAATGCAAATAAAGATTATTCTATTCTATTACTGATGCCTCAGTAAGCGCAAGCGCAAGGTTGGTAGGCAAGGTGCCCCTCAAAATAGTTTACAGGGGTTGAAGGACTTTGCAAATACTCGACTCATCTTACTTGGTTGTGATTGTGCGCTCCCTGTCACTTAATTGATTTTTATCTTACACCTTTGGACATTGAAAGACGATTATAGGAACGAAAATACGAACTGGAATCATGTTTTCTCCGAAGCGTGGACAAGTTTGTGTGATTTGTAGTCGCTCCGTTTTACATAGAAGACAATTTACTATAACGAACAGAATGATTGAAAAAGACCCCAACCCATGCGGGGATTTTTGGATTTACTCTAGCGCGCGCGGCAGAATAACATAAGCGGGCACCTTTGCACCATGTGAATTACTCCCATAATACCTGACCCCCTATGTAGGGTCGAACTAACTATATTAATTATCTTTTTTCATTAACGTTCGTTCGTTATAGTACTTGTACGTATTTAACACGAAATAACTAAAGACCCCCGGGATGGAATTTGATACGCTTTGGCACAGATGATCATGACTATAATACCTTTTAAACAAATGTAGTTTAAGCCATGGCGGACGTGGATGCAGCGTCCATACATTTTTGCCCAATGTCCTTTCGTTTGAACTACGTTATCGAAATTTCGTTTCGGAGAAAGATAGTAGACTCCCTTGGACCTTGCTTCCGAACGGCACCAACGGGCGGTTCAGACTGAATATGAACGCATCTAGCGTTTTTGTATTAAAATGGTAAAAAAACACCTTATACCAATATAAAAAGTAAATAATACAAATTGTTAAATACATCATTAAAATTATTTTACTATAAGATTCAAGAAGAAGTATTGATAAAGTACATATAGAATTAACAAAATAATGTTGAAAATCGGTCTCTTTAATTTCGATTGTTATTTCAATTTAAGCAAATTTATTAAAAAAATAATCAACACAATATGTATTTCTTATTTGGGAAATAAATGACTGTATTCTTCAAAAAACTTGATTAAAGTTAGACTGTTTTTGGGTATTAAACAATATAATAACCTTTATGAGACAAGGGAATTAATTATGAAACATTTATTTCATTACTTATTTATTTTTATTTTATTTCATCACAAATACACTTAATAATCTTTTCCCACAATCAGTGTCTAGAAGAGAACCGGTATATGAATATTCTCTTCATGTCTAAACAGACCTAAAAACCATATGACCACGTCATCTGTGTGAGTGTATTTTTGTTCGCAAAAGCCACGGAACTCATCTATCAATACCAACGTTGTTAAGCTAGGCAACGAGTAGTTCCGATTATCGGTATAGGAATATACTGAATTATCCGTCTTCCCGAACGCGCTCACCGTAATAGCTTTTAGCTAACTTCAGATCTTCAGATGGTTATGTGCCAAGAGCTAAAATAATAAATCAATCACACATTCACCACGAAGTAAGACGAAGGACTGCATATGAGTCAACTAGTGGCATCTGCAACTGCAAGTCCTTCAATCTCCACACCCTTACCCCGTAAACCGTTTGGAGGCGTCTCGTTAAATCCAAGCGCACGATGGTCGGCAGGCTTTGTATTACATCTGGTTGTATTTGTATAGTATAATATGACATTATTATGGCTACTAATACTACAAAATAAAGGCACTATTGAATGAATTTATTTAGCTACTTAAAGATGCCCATGTGTATATCTTTCGACCACCAGGATATTTTTATACGGTGTTATAATAAAAAAAAACGAGCGAGCCTTACAGTAGTCGCGTATGATGTGTAACATTTGAAACCTCACCTTATATTAGTAAAAAAAGAAATAAAACCTACTACAAAATGAATAAGCCATTTGAACATTATGTTCTAAAATCAAATCAAATAGCGCGCGCTTTCGCGACTTCCTGTTACACACTTCCGTCACATTTCACGAACTCACTCCCATAAATTGCAGGAAAGCGAGAGGAAAGATGTTACACATCAATAAAAAAAGTGTATTTCCAAGTGTACTAATTACATTGTTGGCGGAGCTGGGTGTTTTTTGACAATGGTCCTTAAATGATGATGATGATGTTTACATGATTGGCTTTAGCCAAACCCAAATAAAACTAAAGAATTAATGTAATACACACAGAGTAGGTCGAAAAAATATGCGAATTTAAGAGTGTTTTTGCCATACTTACTAGTTTCACCGAAAATGACGTCATATACGTCGAGATAGTTACTGGAAAAACATAAATCAAACTAACCTAACCTGGCACCATGGGACTTCTTAATGTTTTCGTAAATAAACAATTGTTAACACGTTGACAATTTCATCAATAGACTTTTGTAATTAAAGTGTACTGCGAATATTTGGACATATCTATTATTCGAATATAAAGTGACTATTATTCTAATTATTTTTACTCATTTAAAAACAGTTTATCATCATTACCCACCCTGTCGCTATGAGCGACACGACGCGATGAGAACAAAATACTTAAATGTTAGAAGCACGACACGAAGCGAATCATACAGCGAAGGAGTTAGCGTAAAGCCCAGTTTACTGAATGCACACAGACCATCGACGTCACTGCGCTCATAGCTAAGTCAAAAGGCAGTAAGAGAAGCAATATAACTCAGACAGAAAAATTTTATGCGAAATTATGTTAAATTTATGCGAAGGGGGATACATGTTTTCAAAATTTTAGGAAATCATATTTTCAGAAATAATATGAAATTAAAAATTGCTTTTGCTCTTTTATGCATGATTCCTAGACCAGGGTCAATGCCTCTGAAAATCGTTATAAGAGAAAGATATTCAAAACAGGATGAAACCCATACCAAAAGGAAAAGAACAGTCCTGGAGCTCTACTCTCTTTCTCCGAAACGAAATTTCGGTAACGAACGAATATTAAACGAAATTTCGCCAATTACTCAACTCTATTTCATTTTCGAACACGCACATTAAGTTCGGAATCACAGATAATTTTCGTGAACGAATGGAATGAGTCATGTTTGTGAGTTCATTTATCTCCACTTTTTTTTACGTTGTTTTACTTGGAAACAATATAGGTAGTTTACGGCAAATTTTTTTATGACATTGAAAGAACCTTCTTTGACAGTATTAGCCAACTAATTTGTAGAGTTGATACAATCTATTGTATGTCAACCTAAATTTATCGTTTAATACTTTGAAGTATCGGCATTACAATAAATAATAAATTTAATGGTTTATTTGTTAATTTTACATGCTATAAATGTTTCTCGAGCTAAGAAACCTTGATTAAAAATACTTTTGCAACCATTTAAGGCTTAATTTAAACAAAAATTTCAAAACGTAAATGAAAAGGTTACACTTTTCATTTCGTCAATTTGAGGTTAAAACGAACAATTATCTGTCAAATGCAACTTTTCCTTCGAAAGTTTTGTGAATTAGAGTAGGCTTGGAGAATTTTATTGCCAAATTATTTTTGGACGGACGAATTTTCGAAATGAAAAGGAAACAGAGTAAAGAACGTGCGAAATTTTGATCGAACTTTCATTTTTCGTTGAAATAGAGTAGACCCACTGTTCCGAGTTTGTTGCTGTCAAAAATTATTAGCCCTGGTCTACCCAGCGTATTCACCGAAACAATAGTTACAGACTGCCAGTTCTTCATTGACATTCGACAGTCCCCGAAAATACGATAGCGGTGAATAAATCTTTTAACAGGCAAAACGAGGAGGAAGTAAAGCTTCTTGTTTATTCTTATTTCGCTTTACTTTTAGGCAAAGACATGATCTTTATTTTATCGAATCGCCTCTTTCGTTTCTTCAATCACTGGGACTTTTCCCGCAGCCCTTATTTAGAACTTTATTGATTTGTTAGGTGTATAAACTTGCAGCGGACGACTTGTGCAGATGTTTCTAGAGACTTTTCAGTAGTTTTACTAATACTGAATTACTGATCGATTTACCATTGCCACTGCAGAGGACGAAGCTGTGAGACGTATCGCTATTTTGTCGTCACAACAGTTGCTATCCGAGGTCACGCGACACACTAACGCACTACGCCTATTGTTGAATGAAGTACGAACGCGGCAACAGGTAGATACATTTAATTTTTTTTTTGCATGTTCACAATGCTTAGATTTCGGTTATTCCTATCGTGCTACCTGCAGTTACTTTATTTAAAAAGTCATATTTTATGTATGAATTACGTAAGTATATCATTTTAAACATATCTAACTCTAGTGTATACCGGACTCTGCATGTAATCCGAGATCTAATTTTGTCATACTGGGCCGAACAGTACAAATTAAGGGTAAGATTAACTTGCATCTAGTTCAGTTTGAACCCGTATTTAGCGCTTTTTTATTATACTAAATATTTAAATTACATTTTGGACACATATAGCTTGCTCTAAAACCGACACCCATGGTCTGGCAAGACTCAGTATATATTGCAAAGTCAAAGTCTATTTTTTTATAAGTGTCAAATTATTACACTGATTCATTCGTAATGTGATAAGATAGCATGATCAATCATTGCGCAAGCTCAATCGTAGTATTTATATGTATTTCCGCCTTTGTAGCGATTTGCACACCAGCAGCAGTAAAGAGATTTCTGCTAACCTCATTAATGGCAGGAGGAGCGGGAGATGAGAGACCAGAACCAGAAAAGTAACCACCGTCTTCACATTGGAGGTTTTAAAAGCAATAAAACTGACTGGAAGGTTAAGAGACTGAAAGTCGCTGAAAAGAGAAAGTGAGATATAAGAAACTGAGGGAAACAAGCGGAGACATTGTAGGACATTGATACCCGTTCAATACACGTAGACACCGTTGTTGTTTGCGGATGTACATACGGAATCATAAAATCTCTATCGCACACAAAAAAGATAAAAGGTTTGCGAATTAAAAGGTATCAAATTCATTGTTGAAATCCAAAAAGAACAAGGTGTCTGAGGCAGTAACATTTGTATGAATCATCTAAAATATGTTGCATTAATGAATCCTTCAATTTGACGTTAACAACAATTCATCGAAGTAGTAATTTTACATAACCTCATATTGAATTTGTTAAAGAAAAGAATAATAATATTTTGATTTGAAATTTGATGAAATATCTGTCATTTTTAAAGTTAAATTTCACATCTCTTGAACTATATTCAAACATGCCATCTAGCTATTTTCCTCCAAGCTGTGAGCTGCTAAAACGACATACCTTAAACATTTTGTCAGATACTTAAGTGCTATGCCCCGAACAGTAAGCAAAATGGGACGGGTTATATGAGGGATATTTTCAGCGGTGAGCTTGTGATAAATATATAATTATTGATCCGATGAAGAAAGGTGAATACTTAGAACTGACTTTGGAAAATAGTGGTAGAATTCAAATAGAAAATGTAATAGCAAAGCGAATTTAGATGTTTTTGGGAATATTGTAAGGTTGGTGACAACAAAAGTAATATTATAGATCTAAAGATAATTTGGTGATTCCTTGTTTACGTATACACTGCGCTGTGACGATGGAAAAAGAGATATCTCGAGTAAAAGAAGTGGATCACCGATTCTTCCGCTAAAAACAAGAACAGATATAAAGTTGAATGCTTCCCTGGCCACTTTGCTGCTAATTAACGCTTCGCTACAGAAGTCATATAAGTTCTGAATGCGCTTTCTTGTTTCATTAAAGTGACTCTTGTTTAGTTCCAATCATAGATATCGATATCCGTGGTTTCAATAAAATAGTGAGAACTAAATCCAGGGAGTTCTAATGAAGTAGTAGTGTAGAGTTTCTTGTACCAGTTCTTCTCTCTTATATTAAAAAAGTACTGAACAAAGGTGGCCAAATTGATAGAGAAAGTTTACAAATTAGAGAATGGATTACAACTTTAAACTTCTAATCACAAAAAATATGCACTGAAGGCAAAAAAGCTGTACCGAAATATGATTGCTAGATTGAACAAAAACTGTTGATGCAGTTTTAAACCTGATACATTTTACCATCTTTTTCGATCGTATTGTTTTAAATTTGAATTCAGAATACCATACGACATGGAGCTACGCCTAACAAGTCGGATATGCGCCTTGTTAAAGGCAATTGATTTTTGAATAAAAAACATGTTTTATCAAATAAAGGTTTAATTTAATAACGCGTGTTGCCTCCATGGGCATCTACCACAGCTCTCATACGATTAGGCATAGAGTTTATCAACCTCTCTGTGAAATTTTGAGGGATCATCTCCCATTCCTCTTCTATGGCAGTTTTCAACTCCTGCATCGTCTGGGCAACTGGCTGACGAGCCCTAACACGTCTTTTTAGCTCGTCCCACATGTGCTCAATGGGGTTCATGTCTGGGCTTCTGGCTGGCCAGTCCATAACTGTGATGTTCACATCCCGAAGATATTCCCTGACGATGCCGGCCGCATGGGCTCTTGCATTATCATGCATAAAAAGGAAATTTGGGCCCACTTAGCCGCGTATGGTATCGCGTGAGGTTCTAAGCACTCACGAATGTACCTTTCAGCATTTAATGTTGGCAGCCATGGTCCTGTAACAACCTAAAGTTGAGTTTTGCCGCACGCGGATATACCGCCCCAAACAGTCCATGAGCCACCGCCATAAGCAACCCTCTCTTCAAAGCAGCATTGTGCGAAACGTTCTCCCTTACGTCGGTAGACCTTCTTCCTTTCATCATTGCCATGTAACACAATTTTAGACTCATCAGAAAAGAGTACACGGCTCCAATCCTGCTGTGTCCAATTTAAATGACTGCGTGCGAAATGAAGGCGCGCTGTTCGGTGGGCTCGCGTTAGTTTGGGCCCATTAGCTGGCTTGTGTGGTACCATATCGCGTTCTTTTAACCTTCTCCGAACAGTTCGAGCGCTCACAGATACTCCGTGGAAGTCGCGAATTTGTTTTTGTATCTCAATGGAGGTAAGGTGACGATTTCTCAAGCTGGTCGTCACGATGAATCGATCCTGCCTTTCAGTTGTGACCCGAGATCGTGGCCTTCCTTGGCGACGAACAAAGCCGCCAGTCTCTAGGTACCTCCGATAAACATTTCGGACCGCAGATCGACTTAAATTAAGTTGAGCACTCACGTCTTTGGCTGTGTCCGGCCTGAATAAGTGCCACAGCTTGGGCGGCGACTTCAGGTGAAGTATCCATAGATTATTGATAGAATCTCACCTTAATGTTAAGAATAAGTAATGTTTGTTGCAAAACCAAAGATATCAATCACTTTTTCAAGAATTAAATCCAAGTAAACCAATAAAACCAAGTTTTCTTTGTATTCGATTGTTAAATGTCAACAAACAGGCTCCAAATTGTCTTTTGTTTCTTTAAATTCTGTGTTCGAAATTCAAAAAAAGACTATTGAATGAAATTGTGAATGTGCCAGGTTCAAAACTGCATAAAAACTTTTTGCTCGACCTAATATAAAATTTTAGCTAGGACCAAACGAAACTGAAAATACAAGGTGGGCCAATAGATGTGTCCAGAAGTGTATATATTTAGTATATAATATATATTCTACATGTAGTGTAAGTAAATCAAACAAATAAAATAAAAAGCTCGTTAATTTCAACAATAAATAAAAACTTGCTCTTAAGTGTGTAAAATAGTCTTTGACATGCACGCGGACAAGAGTGAAGACGATGGGTCGAGAAACTCGAAAAACATATGAATTCCGTACCCGTAGCACGAACCATTATCGAATTCGAATAGTTTGCGAGTCCGAAATGTCATTGTAAAATTTTTGTATGAAAACTTGAAATTTAGCGCCATATCGTACGTAAAGAGAACTAAAAATCAGTACAAATTTGACAATGTCATTTCTTACTCGCAAACGATAAGAATTCGATTTTGGTTCGTGCTAAGGGTACTGTACCTTTAGCACGAACCATTACTGTACCCTTAGCACGAACCTTGCGTTCGCAACGAGAACTAAAAATCAGTACACATTAGACAATGAAATTTCGTACTCGCAAACGATACGAATTCGATATTGGTTCGTGCTAAGGGTGCATGTTGCTGTTTAGTCAGTCAGTTAAAATACTTCTCTGTTTGCAAAATTAAACGAAATCTGAATGCCAAGATTTACTACTCGTGAATTAGGCCAGTTATTATTAACCAGTGTTAATACGTATTTTTTCTTCTCTTTAACAGATGCGTCTCTGCAGCCAATCGATGGAATACCCTCAGGTTGAATCAATGTCTGAACCTGCAGCTTCGGCATCTACCACCCTCCCCTCAACCACGTTACCTCTAAGTACTATTGTAAGGTTCGTTGACAGTCAAACAGTCGCAGGGGCTTTCGAGCAAGATCAACCAGGTAAGGGCAGAGGTCGTTTAAGGCCTCGATCTGGTATTATAGGCATTGGGAAGGGGCGACCTTTTTGGCTGTGATTCGACAAAATAAAATACCTAATTAATAAATCTTTATCTATATATCTGATATGATTCGGCCCCCCTTTTGATATTTCGGTTAGGCCTTCTTGCCTCCCAAAAACTGTACGTATTTATCGTTAAATTTGATTTTCACAATACCTATTTAATTTGTTTTAATCTGATTGAACTACTAATAACGAAGGTTATGACTGATTAATCTTAAAAATAGTTGATTTCTCTAATGTTTACTAAATGTTGATCTTGTTAATACTCTGAGGTATTAAATATATCATTTTCTAACTGTATTTTTAATTGTAATTGCCATAGAGTATTTTTCAAACAGGGTATATTTAAGGCACTTATTAAACGTGGCATGAATTAATCATTTTGAGAGTAAAGCCGGGTCTCCAACAAAAGCTTTTTGAAAATATTCAATAAAAACACATACTTACACAAAACTGTATTTTTGTAGCATGTTTCTTTACACACGCCGTATACTGCTCACGTGGCTGTCGTTCACAAAATACACAGGACTAAGTTCCAAACCTACGATCCAGGTGCAACAAATGTCGTTGTAAAGTTGCACTCAGAGCGTAGGTTTTGGAACGCGGCCCCAGCTAGCAAGTTGTCCAAAAGTAGCCGATGAAAAAATACAATACCCTGTCCCTCGACCCGTGCGGAAAGATTTGTGTACGTGTTTTCCATCAGGCTCGGAAAGAAAAAACTTTGTTGATGCAAACAAATATGTGTTGTGAAACAAAGTTTTGTATATACGATTTTGTTGAATGTTTATATGTTTTTGTTGATTGTGTAGGGAACACGCGCTGGAGACCCGGCTTAATGGTTGCACTTGAGACGTATCAAAGTGATTCGTTTCCTTATTCTATTGCTATCAGAATGTAAACGGCAGAATCAACTTTATTATAATTAAAAACTCAAATGACGTTTCTGAGTGCCACCAAAAAACCAATAGGTACTTACATAATACCATCATCTGGAGGAATCATTTTTACCTTAAAGTATAATAAAAGTCTGATAGAAAGTAATAAGCTTACAAGTATGTGTATTGTTTGCGTAATTTAAGAGTTTGTTCAGTTTAAAGAAACTTACGCCAAAAAATATTGTTTAAAAAGGTTATCTACTTAATTGTTTACCTTGACACAATTTCTAGTACACTTGCCAATTCACATGCCACACTGATGTTTTGTTCTTATTTCATTGCTATTAAGTAGTTCTTTCTATGTTAGAAGGACGAAAAAGTATGTAGAAGTTTATTGACGGCTAGAGTGGTTTTGTAAATTAGCTGGCATCTTAACACCATGATGTATCTTTATAAATGTCTTTTTTGTATTATGAAGCAGGTAATTTCATGGTCCAGAATTAGGTATACCATTACGAGTGACCTTGGTATTGTACCTTTTTTCGACTTATAGCTACTTTTGGTATGCGATTTTGTTAAAATTAAGTTGATATAAGATTATAATATAAGCTTAATGTAATTAAGCTAAAAAGAAACCTATTGTTATTCTTTTGTTAAAAAAAACTTACAGATGTTTATCATTAACTTGTTGATTGGTTTATTATTATAAATAAGTATTTAGTTTAAAAAATGAAGACCTTTTTCTACGAATAATTTTGTCTTTTATTTCTTCAAAAATATTCATGCGCCGCCAGGTTGACCCATATTATATTTGCATTTCTCTCAAAACGCAAATTGGGGGAGAAGCCAGCTAGTTGCTCCACTTTTCATTAAAGCTCTATTGGACTATTTTTGTAAACATAATTAATATCGCTTTTGAGTAAATCCGGTTCTAATAGTCCTCTCGACAAAGGGACCATGCCTTTGATATTTGCCTACTTGATATTAGCCTAACGAGCAAGTCTCTTTGTGGGAATATAGACCACTCACTATGATTATTTGAAGCTAAAAACATATTTATAGAAGTTTATGTAACCAGTTTTGAATATTCATTGTATCTGACTCCTACTTGAATAGAGCTATAGATACCCAGACAGCTCGAGGTACCCATCAAGCTTACTCTTAACTGAATAGAGTTGAGATTAAAATCGAATAAACGTTGTAAATTAAGGTACAATTCCGCAATGGGCTGCAGGCGACAACCGCAGGTGACACTGCGGCTGACCGTGCATTATATGTATTGTGCAGCCGCGGCATGTCGCCGCGCTCGGAATCAATTTCATAGATTCATAGAAACTAGTAGTGTCGCCTGCAGTCTGCAGCTGCGACCTGTGGTCTGCGGTTTAGCTCGGACCTTATACCTTTACTATTTTAGTAGGTACTCTGGAAATCGATTGTAACGCCAATCGAGTTGAGGTCGATAAATGAATTAAGTGAAAACCCGCCGTTATTGTATGTGTAATGGCGCGAAATATATTTGTTTGTTTTAATCACAATATGTTAATTATGATCGTATGGACATCGTATTAAATACTAGCTGACTCGGCGAACTTCGTACTGACCAAAACTAATAATTTGCAATCAAATAATATTGCGACTATAAATTGACATGTAAGCTATCCTAACATTCAAGTTGGATCAAACTGCACACGGTGTGTTAATTTTATTTAAATGGGTTAGTTAGTTAGTAAACTACTTAGTTTAGGAGTCCATCCCGGACAAACAACGTGACGCGTAATTTATATATAATAAGATAAATTATTTAAATTAAGATTTGCGCCTCATTTTCAAACTGTCATATACAATTTTTAAATAATTTAGTACTTCTATCATTAACCCAATATTACAACATCGCGTAAAAAACTACTAAATTCAATATCTGAATATTTATTAAGTCTAGGCACTTAGTCTATTATGGTCTAGGCTGTTACAAGCACTTGTGTATGTCGAAAAGTTCACAAATCTACGGCGGGTGATCTTGTACTGAGAAGAACCGACAAAAAATGAGTTTATTTTTAAAGCTCTTTTATAAAAACATCTAAAATAGGTAAGTTTCTTTAATGAAATACTATTTTCCTTTGTAAGTGAAAGTGTAGTCGCAGTTTAAATGTTTCAAGTTTAATCGGTGTTTTTGTGTTTGTTTGTATTGTAATTGAGAATTTTCTTCGTTAGAAGAAGCCCGAAGAGTTGATGTACGCCAAAGACGCCGTCAGCGCCAAATAGCTCGCTTTGAGGCAATAGCACAAGATATAAGCGAGCAAGAATTGGTGGCAAATTATCGTGTGGCAATGTGTAAAAATAGCAGTGGGCGTCGTACGGCTGACATGATGATAAATAAATAAATTCAAGAAGTAGGGTAGTTGTAGCTTGGCGTTCTCTGCTCTTTCTATTCACTGCGCGCCAACCACGGTCTTCAAAGTTCACTTACCTAATATTTTGCAAGAAAAAAACAGTAAATTTTCTTTGACAATAAACTAATGAACTCCTACGATTTTTCCATTGTCTCGTGGTTTTTGTTTTGTAAGCTTGTAAGTGAATCTTTGTAGGTATCCACGTACTTAAAATGCTTTTATCAACTGTGCCTCAAAAATTTTTAGGTATATTATGTCGTGCCGTTTAATGCTACCTTGTGAGTAAGTATCTACCTATCCACTTATTTCTGAAACCGTATAAGAGTAAAAGCTTAGGGGACGGAAGGCTGAGGACCATGGGGTTTCATGAATGTACCTTTCTGAATATTTTGAATGCCTAACATTTTGAAACACACATTGTAAATCCTGCCGAGGAGGATGTTGCTTGAATATGAATAACGTAGAGCTTTGTATTTGAATACCTTTGATTATTTCCTCTCTAGATAGAGCGTCACCTAGTACACACTGCGATAAAAACAGACCAGGTTTTATGTACTTACTTGTGTCTTGAAGCATAATATGCTCTAAGCTCCGAATAGAACTTTCGCACAACACCGTAGCCTACACATTACCTACCTGAAAGAAATATTTAAGTTTCGCAGCCTAACAGGATAATACAGTACCTATACATACATAATTATATTTAGGTTAAGTAAATTCTAAAAAATAATATATACAGTCGAACACAGAACCTCCTCCTTTTTTGAAGTCGGTTAAAAAAGATATGTTGGTGAATAATAGTCCTTAAGCGAATTATTGATACTCGTGTCATATTTTATTTCTTATGTTTTTTAAACACGTTGAAAAGTATTTTATATAACTCGTAGGTACCTATCATGTCAAATATTTCACCAACTAAAATCAGAGGAGTTTCCGAGTACCTAGAGAGGCGTTTATTCAACAGGGAAGGTTGTGAGGTCACGTTGAAAAGGAAAGTTTTATCAATACAATTTTTAAACTGATAAATCTGTTTTCTGACCGTGTGCTATTATAAATGTCACACTTGACACGTCCCACACGTTCTGTTTCCAGGAACAATACGGCGTGAACTTGTGGTCCGGAGCTGAGTCTGTTTTGTTTGAGGGAATTACTAACTGGTCCGTTTAAATACCGGACCTATTGAACATCAAGTCGTATTTGGAAGATTTAATTGGTATTAGAAAACGTAAACTTATTCGTTAATATCATTCACACTTGAAGCCTAAGTAGGTGGGTACTTACTGAATTATATCTAGTAAAAATTGACATTAGGTAGGTGTAAATTAAATAGTTTAATTGTTACCTTTGTTTAGCTTGGCAAAAAATTAGAAAATGGAATAAATAATGTGCGATACATTTCTCTGAAACAAGTTTGTTAACTTTTACAAAATAAAGTGATATTATGTTTACAAGGACTTCGTTATTTTGATAAAAGGGTCAAAGGCAATGCAATGATATTGTATATGTTATATCATTGGTAGGTAAGTAGTAGTAAGCGAAAACTCCACCATGGCAGTCCGTATACAAGATCATACTAGAAACCTATCCTAACTGCTCTTGCTAGGCGTCTTAAAGCTTCTGGATTAGAGCGGATGTGGCATCAACGTCAACGGCAAGTATTACTTACCTTCAATTTGCCGATGATATAGTCGTGATCGCGGACTCTTTGGAAGATCTCCACACAATGTTCAACGACCTCGGCAGAGCCTCTAAATATGTGGGCCTTCAAAAAAACACCACTAGGAAGAAAATTATGTCTGACCCTCATGTTCCGGTAATCGCTGAGAACTCGGCACTCGAAATTGTTGACAAATATTAATATCTGGGACAAATAGTCCAGCTGGATAAGTCTAATTTCGAGCAATCCAACTCAGCTAGACAGCGTTCGGGAAACTTCATGATGTCATCGCCTCCAAAATACCTACTTCAGTACCTGAAGACCAAGGTTTTTGAACAGTGCATGTTGCCAGTGATGACATTCGGAGCTGAGACATGATCGTTAACTATGAGCCTCATAAGAAGGTTCAGAGTGCAGCGAGCGACGGAGACAGCAAAGCTCGGTGTTTCCCTACATGATCGAATCAGAAATCAGTAGAAGAACTAGAAAACCGACATAGCTCGACGGATCGCCAAGCTAAAGTGGCAATGGGTGGGGCACATTGTTCGGCGGACCGATGGACGTTGGGTTCCCAAAAGGTGCTAATGAAGAAGCGCAGTGTCGAGAGACCCATCTCCAAAGTGTCCTGACTACATGAATGATATTGTTGAGAAAATACAAAAAATCCAACAACAAGCTCATGACAAAAATAGTGTTAGTGTATGTAAAGAGCGGCGAAAATTGTCTTTGACCGGAGCAGCTAAATAGACATTTGATCGGACCCTGCTTTTTTTTTTTTTAAATATTTAATTCAATAAACTAAAAGTTCCGTCAGAGCGTCTTTTCTATTCCTGCTCCAGTAAATTTCCATGGCCTCCATTGTCATGTATATGACGTGGTGTTGAACTGGAAAGTAATAAGTGACAGCGTAAACACTCATTCCCTTTATGCATAGGCTACAACAGAAACATAAACGAAGTTCACTGCGTTTTTACTAAAACCCCCTCGTTCCCTCCCGGTGTATGAAATAAATCCATTATTACTAACGACTCCTAAATGATAAATTGGTTCTGATTGCTTTGCTACAAAAGTATTATGGAGAATGCATAGCCAACAGGCATTCCAGTGGTGTATGTTTGTATATTCCGCTGTATGGTATTCCACTGTACGGTCAAATTATTGAACCAGTTTTGATAATCGGATGAGATGTTACTTTTTTACGTAGGTAAACATAAACTGTAAGTCCTTACTTAATGACATCAATCAAATAAAATGTACAAAACCATATTCACTCAAAGCAAATTTACGATTCGTTCGCGCGAGTGAGCTTACCGGTGCCGATTTTCATTTCATTAATGAAAAGCAAAATTCAATCATCTCCAGAGCACTCATGAAAGTCAAATGAAGTTAATGTAGTAGGTGGTGCAGCGTACATTCCGGAACAAACACGTTTGTACTGCAGATAGTACTGCAGAGAAATACCTGAAGCGATATTTATTGGGTTTCTGTGAACCTTTGTAGTCGACACGTGCAGTTCACGCACCGATCCTTTTGACTACAGTGGATTTTTAACTCTCGTTTTTGTTTTAATACCTCGGCTTTGTTTCTGTTCTGGACTATGTAGCATGTGCTGCCTAGTACTTAATTACCTATCAGTCCTATTCTTAAAGAATATTAAAAATGATTTATGCGCCTCTTGACAATAGTATTTAACTATGTACGTAAGTATGTTATATTAAATCTCATTTTTCTCACAGATTATATTGATAATAGCTGCATACTCATAATTGCAGGCCCGTGGCGCAGTTTGGTCAGGATATAACACGTAAGCATTTTTTTTTTTAAGATATAGTTTTTTTTTCTCGCGGACCTACATACCTTATTGAGCCACTCGTCCCTGGGGTGTGGCACGACTGGGCTGCCATCGTAATCCATGTACTGTGTCATGAGCAAACGCGGAAAATAATACTCATTGAAGAAGCCGCGAATGGACGGTGGAGGTAGATCATACTGGCTCTGCGTTGAATCTAGCTCCTGCGACGGCCCTTAGAAAAGAGAAAAAAATATGAATTTTATAGTTCGTATGAGCGCGCTATAAGCTTACCGCGGACACATTTTTATATATACTATCACAACTAATTATAAAAATACAGGTCAAGTGTGTGTCAGTCAGGCCATGCTCAAATCGCAAGCTAATGAAGAGCATTACAGGCACAGAAATATTTATTACTTTTGTGCTTTCAGAGTATGTCTTAACTCATGCGAACAGGCTCCTTACGGCTTGGGAACTGCCAATAGCCGCCTACACTAATATGTTATTATTAGAGAATAAACAACGTAAATTGAGGATGTTCTGATTTTATTGGTATATTTTACATGGCTCATAAATTCTTAATTAGGTTTTTATTTTTATAATCTAAAAGATTTGTTAGACCTGGTAGTCTAACCATTACCAAGTTTACCTTATAGAACCAACAAATCTGGGATATCGTTGAAAACGAAGAGTAACAGCGATCCGTGTAGGTTTATCAAAAACCAAAAATTTTATGTAATGCAAGAGTTAAACTTTCAGTAAGCTCGACATTACAGATTTTTAGGGTTCCGTACCTCAAAAGGAAAAAACGGAACCCTTATAGGATCACTTTGTTGTCCGTCTGTCCGTCCGTATGTCAAGACCGTTTTTCTCAGAAACGCGTGGAGGTATCAAACTGAAAGGACATTGCTCGTTCCCCATACATCGAATGCCCTAGAACGCCCAGCAATGAGAAAATGCTAGTTGTGTTCGGAATCATTCATAAACTCTAATTAGGCATTTGTTGAGATACGGACAACTTGAGGAACCGTGGCCTACTACAGAATGTATTAGATTTTGAGGTTATAATTATTATACTTAAACTTAAAAGATGTACACTTTATATATTCTGAATAGATTCAGTATTTACCTCTATGTAAGCACTGAAATAATATGCATTAAATGAACATAAAATGCAATTAATAATAAAAATAATAAATGCTTATATTTATATTGATTTATGAGTGTTGGCAGTTGGCACCTATGATACCTATACCTACCTGTAGTAATAATAGATTTATTTTCAAATGAAATGTTCAAAGTCTTTCCATTTATTTGTTTCAATATTTTACTATCGGTAATTAGGTATGTATCTGGTTATAATTTCATAAAAATAAACAGATATTACATGGGATGGGAGTATAAACTATTTTTACATAATTTCAGAAATAATCTTTTTATAAATATAATATAAATACTAGTAATAAGTATTATTAACTAAGGTACCTAGTTCTATTTTTATGTTGATAAATACCTATGGTCGCCTATATTGCATATTTTATTAAGGTAAACAATCTTGGCACAACTTTTTAACAGAATCACTCATTTAATAATAAAATATTAACCAAGCCAATAAATTATTAAAATAAATCGTTATTATAGACTGAAACCTATTGAATCCAGTTATCAGTTGATTTTTAATGCTGTATTTTCAATAAAAAGGAGTGCTTAGATTGTTTACCAAATAGGACAAGTTGATGAACAGACTGTAGTATCTAGTAACAGAACTTTTATTTTTTATTTCTTTAAACAGATTGTCCGTTTACTATGATTTATTGCTAATAATTTAAAAAAATAATAGAAAAATAATCGTGAAGGACATTCTTTTGGGCATGCTAGGGCCGATTTCGTCGATGTCCTTTATATCTAATACTCAGGTCTACTGTGCCTTGGAGCTGTGAAAAAATCAAACTTTTTAGCCAAAGCAATCCAAAGATACAGCCGTTTATGCCGCAAATTTTCGAAATTCGCACCGGAATCAAAACCTACAGAGTACTTCCCGTGAACTTAGAATCTTGAAATTTGGTACGAAGTAACGTCTTATAGTACAGATAAAGGAAAATTTGCGAAAACCGTAAATTTTTAATTACATAATAATAAAAAATATTTTTTAATAATTATTAAAATACACCTACAGGTTTGTACGGAACCCTCGGTGCGCGAGTCCGACTCGCACTTGGCCGGCTTTTTGTTTTTGTTTTGATCCAACCCCGGAACCCTTTTAAGGGTTAATAGGTTCCGGACACGGACCGTTACATAATCTCGATAATCGAGTTTGACGAGTAAAAAATTTTTTAGCAATTACTTATATGTTTCTTATAATAACGATCATGTTGTAGACTTTAAGACTGAATTAAATCTATCTTTAGTTTGACTAAACAACAGTTTTTAAATCTGTCTTAGGCTATGTAGAAAAGCTTAAAAAATATTAGAGTAATTTAAAATATTTGAAAAAGGTAATTATATTTTATTCAGAAAAAAAACAAATTGTCTTTTATATCTTTGCAAAAGCCAACTTACCTTAATGTAAAAAAAAAACAATCTGAACCAAGTGCTAAAATTGCACAGATTAATATTTTTGGATAAATTACCAACACATATATAAAATTCTCGTATCACAATGTTATTTACCATATTCCTAAGAAACGGCTAGACCGATTTTTATGTATATTCAGTAGGTCTAAGATCTATTTAAAATTTAATTTTTATATTTTACTTGCTGTGCCCCAGGTTGTAACCCGCGGTAATGGTTTATGGTAATAAACTTAGTCTATGTATTAAACCAGGGTGTCAGCTAACTTCATACCAAATTTTATTAAAATCGCTCCAGCCGTTTAGACGTGAAGAATTAACAAACATCCACACTCACAAACTTTCGCCTTTATAATATTATAGTGATGATGATGATGATGATGAGCATTAAAAATACATACAACCCTAAATTTTTACCCTTCTACCACCAGCCCCTATTTTTATGGCGGTACGAAGTTCGTTCAGCTAGTAATACTATAAATGCTTACTTATGACCAAAAAGCATAAACGCATAAATATTTACTAATGTGGTGTTGAAGGATTACCATACACGCTGTCAGTAAGTCCGCGTCTTTTTCGCAACTATAATAGCTGCCGCGCATGCGCTAGATGGCCAAAGCACCAAACCTAATACGAACATAAACTTAATTAACTCATATATTTGTTATTTTTTTAAGTATGTAAATGTTAGATGTTTAAATCTAAAAAAAAAATATTTAGAATAAAATCGACGCGGACCAGGCCGCAGACGGGACTCTAACCCTCGAACTCGAGTCCCGTATGCTGCTTCGTCCGCATGGAATATTTTCTAGTTAATTTTCCTTTAGATTTAATTAACTCTGTCAGTTTTTAAGATATTGGCATCGGAACAAAACAACTTAATCTCTGCACTTCCAATCTGCTCCCCTTACTATTTTTTTTTTCAAAAAAGCAATTTTTAAATGGTTAACATAAAGGTTAATTATTTTATAAACCCTTGCAACGTTTTTCAGGCGGCTTCTGTTTACTATCACTTTCCATGGGAAAGATAATATGCCTACTAATATAAAGTTAATCTTCTACCTCCTCTCCTCCTACCTCCTTCTATTAATAAACGAATAACAATCTTGGATTAGTTACTCTATGTTTGGTCTCTGTTAGACTTGCAACGAAAAGTATATTCGGCATTATACCGAATACCGAATATTCGGTGAGGCCCCTGACCGAATAGCCGAATATTAGGCAAAAGTATTCGGCTGGATTTTAGTGCCAAAAACTTGTACAGACGTGATTTTCGTGCTCCTTTGTTTTGTTCTAATCTGCCGTCCTCAAGCTAAAATGCGGCTAAATGACAAAACCAACTTTTGAGATATGGCCAAAAACGGCGCGTAAACTTTAAAATATTGCTATTATGTAACCATTCATCACATGACTGAATGAATTAAAAACTGTTAACTTGTTTAATACAGAAAATGATTAAATTATGTACCTGTTTTATGTACCAATGACTACTTAATAAATGATTATAAAATAAAAGAGAACCTCACCCTTCTAAATTCTGATTACCACAATAATTCAAATACATAGAATCCATTTTTCCAATTTAGAAGATGATTATGTATGTGTGTTATACCAATGACTACTTAAATGATTATATAACAGAAATGAAAATATGAATATATACTTAATCAATCGATTTTAACTTTTCATTTTACCAATTGTTTCTCTATGACAAAATATATTATTTAAGTGTTCGGTATTCGGCCGAATAATATGTAGATATTCGGTATTCGGCCGAATATAATAAAAGCAGCCGAATAGACCGAATACCGAATGGTCTAGTCTCTGTTCATCCAATGACAAAATAATGGCATTTGAGCATCATTTGAGTGATATGAACAAAACACGGCGTAAGTAGTCCAAGCTTATTCCTCGTTTATTAATAAGGTGGATACTTTTATTTACTTCAGAATATTTGTTTTAGAATACCTATAAGTAATTTAGATTGTGTTCTGTAAGTGAACTTTTGAGTTGGCTTCGGAATTACAATTTTTCTCCGGCTCTCTGGCGTAGATTATGTACCAAGCTTTTATAGAAGACAGCTTTAATACATCCTATCACAAAATAAAGCGATCGCTCAATACCAGCTTATCTTAGTAAATCAATAAGCTTGTCTTGATTAATAAGCCTATATCTATTAAATACAGATTCCAAAGATGATGGAATCTACTATTAGCAGTGAGCTCCTACTGCACCTGGTATATCAACTTCTGATCAGTGTCAATATGGTTTCCAAGGGAGCCATTTGGCTGGTGATATCCTGTACTATGGTCCATGCTTGTACCGAAAGCAGCGTTAGAAGGAGGAAAGAAACATTCACGATAAATTTCGACAACGGAGACCTTTGATAGGGTTTCGTACATAGCGCTTCTTCCGAAGCGTCCTGCCGATGGATACCTGTGAAACTGTGTAATTGGGTCATGATGTTTATTGCGGGCAGGAGCAGCAAGGATAACAGTACGTGTTCGGACTCCATATCTGTCAGCGTCGCTAACAGTATTACCAAGTATCCAATATATTTGAATTTTACTTGCGCCATCGGTATCGCTTTAGCGAAAATGGTCTCAGTAATTTCATGGCAGTAATACATAGCGCAAAATCCCATGAACGACGTGAAGTCCG